GCACTTATTAGGTTAATGTTTGTATTTCATTAATCGGTTTTCAGGTCTAAAAAATGATTTTTTTTTATTTTAAAAGTCAAACATCCGAGGGTGTTTGAACGCAACACGCGCCACTGACGTCAGACGTAAACGGAAGTAAACTTCCTTGTTGGAGTTTTTACTTTCTGTCAACAAATCCGCAGTTAGTTTGTTCCGTGGAGTTAAAGCAACGTGTCTGAGGAAAAATCCCGTCCCGTTTCGGTACCGGTTCGCTGCTCTGAACGTTGGTACCGGTTCTTATTCTAGTCCGGCTCCGTTTTCAGTTGTAAAGATGACTTTTTGTAGAGTTCTGTTGGGGTTCCTGGTCTCGGCGTYCTGGCTCCTGTGTGTGTCCGTGGCGCAGAACCAGGACCATCGTGTCGTGACCGCCGGGAACGGCACCACGACCAAACACGAAGCCAACTCCACCGGAACCAACAAGAACTCCACGACTCACGGGTTTCACAGGCTCGGCGTGGTCGTGGACGGCTCCATGATCCAGAGGGCCCTGTACGTCCTGATCGGGTTCACCATGATCGGACTCCTGTACTTCCTGATCCGAGCCGTCCGGTGAGTCCTCCGAACCTCTTTTTAATCTCAAAAGTTTATTATTTCTATTACATAATCCGCGAACAAACGGAGGGACCATAAATCATCACTTTTTTAAACGGAGTCTGGTGGAAACTACAGCATAAAGGATTTGACTGAAGTTTGTTTAAACAGTTAATTAACTCTTAAACTTTATATTAAAACTGTAAATAACACAAAATATTTGTTAAGAACCTGGTTTAGTTTAGTTTAGTTTAGTTGAGCCCCAGACAGAGTCGGAGCTCAATCAATAGCTCGTGACATGAAAACAAGGTAAACAAAATAAAAACGGAATAAAACCTTAAAATAAAACCATCAGTTTTAGAGGATTAAATATAAAATAGAGTAAAAATAGAACTGAGAGGAARCTACAGACAAAGAGGTTAAAATAAGGAAAGTAAACAAATAATATTCCCTACTTATTTTTACCAGCTAGCACTAGCTAAGAGTTAAAAATAGCAGAAATCAAGCTAAGTAGAGCTCGAAGTAGCTAAAAGTAACAAAAACATAGACACTAAACATATCAAAATGTTACAAAGCTTTTAGCTAAAAACTAGCTACTTTTGCAAACAAATGCTAAAGTGAACAAAACTGTACTTAAACAAGTAAATTAAATATTAAAGCTAAAATTAGCTAAACGGTTCATCTTCTACCTTTTATTCTCAGCTTTATTTACAGACGATTCTAACATGAACAAAACAAAAGCTAAAATTAGCAAAATAGATGTTAAAGTCGATGTTAGCTAACAGTAATCAATTCTGTTTTCATTTTAGCCGCACTGTATATAAATCAAAAGCTAACATGAACAAAACATTAGCTAAATTTAACAAAGTAGACGTTAACGCTAAAGCTGTCCAAACAGTTTTAGCAGCTTTATTAAAAAAAAAAAAAAACAATGCTAACATGAAGAAAACATTAGCTAAATTTAACAAAGTAGACGTTAACGCTAAAGCTGTCCAAACAGTTTTAGCAGCTTTATTAAAAAAAAAAAAAAACAATGCTAACATGAAGAAAACATTAGCTAAATTTAACAAAGTAGACGTTAACGCTAAAGCTGTCCAAACAGTTTTAGCAGCTTTATTAAAAAAAAAAAAAAACAATGCTAACATGAAGAAAACATTAGCTAAATTTAACAAAGTAGACGTTAACGCTAAAGCTGTCCAAACAGTTTTAGCAGCTTTATTAAAAAAAAAAAAAAACAATGCTAACATGAAGAAAACATTAGCTAAATTTAACAAAGTAGACGTTAACGCTAAAGCTGTCCAAACAGTTTTAGCAGCTTTATTAAAAAAAAAAAAAAACAATGCTAACATGAAGAAAACATTAGCTAAAATTAACAAAGTAGACGTTAACGCTAAAACTGTCCAAACAGTTTTAGTAGCTTTATTAAAAAAAACCCAATGCTAACATGAAGAAAACATTAGCTAAAATTAGCAAATGAAGTTAAAGTAAGGAGCTTTATTGGAAGAAACAAAAGTTAACATGAAGAAAACATCAGCTAAATAACACTGAAGCTAAAAGCTAAAGTTAGCTCTCAGTTTTGTGGGAAAGCAGGCGGGACAGGGTCCGGTCCTCAGGTGGAGTCAGACTGCTGTGGTTCAGTCTAAATCCTGACTCCTGTTAGTGACTCACCTGGTCGTACCTGTCCTCCTGTGAGTCAGGATCCAGGCCTTCACCAGGCGTTTTGTTACCGGACCAACAAACAGAACCCAGTTTTCACTTAATTATGTTTAATTAGATGCTTCTTCATTTGAACTCATGGTTCTGTCTGATGATGATGATGTCAGGTTGAAGAAGTCGACTCAGAAGAAGAAGTACGGCCTGCTGTCCGACTACGACGACTCGGTGGAGATGGAGGCGGTGGACAGCGAGGAGGACGACACGCTGTACGAGGCCCGCAGCCTGCGCAGGTCAGACATCAAACTGATGACATCATCAGCACGAGTCACAGGTCCAAACGGACTGGAAACTGTTCCTAAAGCAGACGTTTTACTTCCTGTTGCTCGTTTTATTTATTTATTTCACTTCCTGTAGTTTTTTAGACACCAAATCATAAATTATTTTAATATTTCTGATAACTTCCTGCCAAGAATGAGAGAAATTCTCCTRCAGTTAAAACAAACAGAGTCACTCAGAATTCACCAACATAAATATTTAAGAGTTCAGGTTTAATCTGTCAGCTTATAATCAGATTCTGTTTGATTAAAGAGATTAAAGCTTTAAAATATAATCTGAACTTTGATGTGTACCAGAGGAAACTTTGTACAAAGGTTTAAATAAAGTTAATTTTTCTGGTCGTTATGAAAAATATGTTTAAAACTGAAAATATACTTTGTTCATTACAGCTCGGTTTGTAAACAATTCAGCTGTTTAATAAAGAAAACTGCAGGTTTAATTTAAAAACTAAACACTCAGGATAAAATGTTAAAT